GGGATCATGACCTGAGCCGAAGGCAGACGCTTGATGACTGAGCCACCCAGGCGCCCGGGGCTTATAGACTCTTACAGACTCAAAGTTGACCGAGCATTTAGGGCCTAGCCCTTCGTTGCTTCTCAACACGTTCCTCATTAGCTGCCTCACCCTCAGCAGGTGAGAACTACCTCCGGGTACCATCGTGTGATCCAAAAACTTCTTCAGTATACTTCCTCCTACCGGAAGCCAGTTCTCCATTTATCCTCTGGATCTCAGTGGCTCTCATCTTTCTAAGACCTTATACTTGCTGTTACCCCCTCCAGCACAGCTAACATTTCACTCTCTTGGCTTTGTCCCTTCAGCAGGCAAGTGTGTTCACACCTCTTTCATCTTAAGAAATCATTATAATTATAACGCTACTGCATGGTTCTCGGCTGTTTACAAACCCGTCTTTCCCTTCACCACACAGTTTCTTGATTACGATATACACTCGTCCATTCTTTCATTGCCTACTTATGCTTCAGTTCTTGTTAATCTGGATTCTGCTCCTACCACTTTACCAAAATTGCTTTTGCTGAGATTTGATGACCTCCATATTGTTAAAGCCAGCAGACTTTTTTTGAATTTTACTTTATTTTATTATGTTATGTTAGTCACCATACAGTACATCATTAGTTTTTGATGTAGTGATCCACGATTCATTGTTTCTGTATAACACCCAGTGCTCCATGCAATATGTGCCCTCCTTAATACCCATCACTGGGCTAACCCATCCCCCCATGCCCCTCCCCTCTAAAACTCTCAGTTTGTTTCTCGGAGTCCATAGTGTCTCATGGTTCATCTCCCCCTCTGACTTACCCCCCTTCATTTTTCCCTTCGTTCTCCTAATGTCCCCCATGCTATTCCTTATGTTTCACAAATAAGTGAAACCATATTACAATTGACTTTCTCTGCTTGACTTATTTCACTTAGCATAATCTCCGGTCCCATCCATGTTGATGTAAAAGTTGGGTATTCATCCTTTCTGATGGCTGAGTAATATTCCACTGTATATATGGATCACGTCTTCTTTATCCATTCATCTGTTGAAGGGCATCTCGGCTCTTCCCACAGTTTGGCTATTGCGGACATTGCTGCTATGAACATTGGGATGCATGTGGCCCTTCTTTTCACTACATCTGTGTCTTTGGGGTAAATACCCAGTGGTGCAATTAATGGGTCATAGGGTAGCTCTATTTTTAATTTTTTGAGGAATCTCCACACTGTTTCCCAAAGTGGCTGTACCAACTTGCATTCCCACCAACAGTGTAAGAGGGTTCCCCTTTCTCCACAACCTCTCCAACATTTGTTGTTTCCTGCCTTGTCAATTTTTGCCAGTCTAACTGGTGTAAGGTGGTATCTCAGTGTGGTTTTGATTTGTATGTCTCTGATGGCTAGTGATGTGAGCATTTTTTTCATGTGTCTGTTAGCCATTTGTACGTCTTCTTTTGAGAAGTGTCTGTACATGTCTTCTGCCCATTTTTTGACTTGATTATTTGTTTTTTGGGTGTTGAGTTTGAGAAGTTCTTTATAGATCGTGGATATCAGCCCTTTGTAGTGTCATTTGCAAATATCTTCTCCCATTCTGTGGGTTGCCTCTTTGCTTTATTGACTGTTTCCTTTGCTGTGCAGAAGCTTTTTATCTTGATGAA